TCGCGGGTCAGGTGTGGGCCCGCAATCGTTGGTGATGTCTGACAAATAGTGTGTTTGTTGTCGTTTGGGAGTCGATTGGCCGCCAAAGATGGCAACCGGTGTCCCGTCGCTGTCCAACACTCGCTTACTGCGGATCCGTTTGGGAGTGACTTCTTGGCCGACACCTGATCCGTAGTTTTCTGTCAAATCACTGGTGTTTTCTAGCGATTCACGGCTTGTATTGTCTTCGAGTTCTTCGTGTGATAACTCTTTGACATTGGTTTCGCTGATCGCTTGATTGCCAACTGATTTCATCACTAATTAAATAAAATAAAAAATTTAATCATAAGTTAATTATAAACCAAAAGTTAAACGAAAATTAATTAATTTTGTAATAAGAAATACCATTCAATTTGCCGGTCGTTTGATTGCCAATTGATTTCACCGCTAATTAAAAAAACACAATTAAAATGACATTAAAAGTGAACAAACAATGTACTTACCATCGAAATGATCAAGATCATCACCAAGATGATCACCATGGTCGATGGCACGGAGGGTGACAACACATGATTTCCGGTTAATCACGTTTAAAGTGTTAATCTCTTTGCGTAACTCGTAATCAATGAATTTGGGATTTGTTTGCAAACAATTCACGTATTTCAGGCATTTATGTGTCAACAAATTGGACCTGGCTAAGTCCGTGTTCACCCGGCTGTTCTCCCGTCGCAACTCATTGATCATTGAGTACAACTGTCTTCGCGAAAGGGCCCGAAAGTCACCGCCAATTGATCCCATGTCTGGACACATGTGTTGTCTGTGTTTTCCCTCTCAAAGCGCTCGTATGACAGCCTATTGACAGGGCATACGACCGGTGGGTCACGTGATTCGCACGTGTGTTCAATGCGTGCACTTGTGTTCATATAAAATGTTTTTTGACTTTTTTTGCAAATCAATTTAGGGTGAGCGAAAAGGTAATTTTTGGCAAAGATTACCTTCAGGTAAATTTACCGGTAATAATTACCTGGTAAATTTACCCACAAAAAGCTCACTCATGAGATGGCAGCACCGCTAGAATAGCACTATTAACGCTAGTGACTTTCGAGTCCATCTCTTATCATAGCTCATCAGCTGTTATAAATTACCTACTTTACATATTTTCGCCCATGCGTATTTTGCTCAAAATTGATAAATTACTTAAATTACTTAAATGACCTGCACGCTAAATCAATTAAGTTTTTATATTCCTCTGGTTTACCATTCATTCGCTCATGTCTTGCGTATTATCTTCTTTGTAGTGTTGAGACCAATATTTGGTCATTTCAATGAATCCAAGACAGTATTAATTTTATATTTAATATGATATAAGGCTTATTCATAAGTTATAAGTAAGGGCACAGAAATTGGAAAGTTTAAAAAACTTAACGGTAACATGATAATTTTGAATTGATAAATCTTTATATAAACTGCTAGCTGTATTAATCAGTGCATTGCGCATTGATAGGTATAATTGACCATGATTAAGGTATGGTCATTGGCAAATCACTTGTCCCCCACCGGACCCGACATCGGCTATTGTAATGATTTGTTTGCGATGAATAGTTACGAGTTTTATCAATACGTTTGTATCGCCGCTTGTAATTATATTCTCATTATTGGTTTCTTCTGATCATGTTTATTATCACTAAATTGTTAATTCGTATTATTCAACCCTAGTATAGTATTCATTTATATTTTTTGTATGTTAATTATGAATATTTTATCAACATGAAATGGTTAGACTAATTATGTGAAGGTGAATAAAATACAATGAATTAAGTACTTTTACAATTATCTTACAATTAATACAGTACAACTATCTTTTTGTTTGATTAAAACTAATATTTGCTGATAAATGTTATCATCAAAACTAAAGTCACATGTGTTTTATTATCATAATTTGTAATAGATTACTGGTTATACAATTGAGTTTATGAAATACATAATGATTTTAAGTTTGTGTTTTAAAACTCTTAATTATTGTACCACATTTTTTACTTGTGTAAAATTAAATACCTTTAAGTATTAAAAATAATGTTCATGGTATATTCATAAATTGTCAATTTAAAATTGAGTGTTTATACAAGTGATTTAATTAGGAATGAATTACGCGATTGAAAATTGTTTATAAAACCACATGATCATAAAATCGATGATTCCTAAGAATAAGGTAATTGTGTACATTTAAAATAATTTAACTAGAATTTTATTTTTTTTATTTATTTTACATAATTAACATTAATTTCTATATTATATCTACCGGTTCACTACATTTACTCTAACTTTTATCAACTTTACCCAATGTAGGAGTAAATGACAGGATGTTTGGCTATAATAAATTATAAATTAATTAATATTCATTTATTATAATTAGCTTATATTTAGTTTATCAATAGTTACTTTTGTAAACTTATATTTTGCGGACCATTTAAAATATTGTTTTATTTAGTTTGAATAAATTAATATTTGTAACTGTAATTTGATAATTTAACAAGCTTGACGTGATCAGCTAGCATAAGGGCAATTAGTTTACAATGTAATTAGTTTGAAATATTTACAATTGATGATAGTGAAAATGCAATTAAACTCAATTTATCAGTATTTGGTTTATCAGTAAAAGTTTAAGTTCAATATAAATTGAACATTATTTTTAGTTTTATTAAAACAACATGATTATTAATCGCATACCTGTCACGTACAGCACATGTACGTATAATAAATGATTATGATCCGTAAATACATGTTATGATAATAAATGTAATAAATAATTAAAATTGAATATGGTTATAAGTTATTACAAATGAGTTGTTATAAGTTATTACAAATGAGTTGTTACAATTGTTTGTGTCTATCAAATAATATGGTAAAACAAATGTAGTGTCAATGAAAATACATGTTAATAGTTTTGTGTCATGTTTTCATAAAAGTTATTTTGTTGTAAATATTGTTAATTTTGTAAATAAATAAAATTTTAATTGTGTTGCAAAAAATGAATCTATGGTTACAATTACGGGATTATGTTCGCGGTCAGTTTTTCGATGTCGGTTATATACAAGTGATGTATACAAGCGTTTTGTTGTTAAGTCACTTAACATTTGTAAGTATTATTTATTTGTTATAGTAATTCAAATTCTACACGTAAAATAACCATGGCTATTTAATTTATATAAACACGTAGTACATGAAGTATGCGTTAATAGGACCGGCGTTTGTGGACTTTAAATACATTTTAAACACATCGTTAGAGACCATAACACGTATTCCCACATTATATACCGGAGGTATTATCGTTGGCACACTTTGTAAGTCGTTAAATTAACCACCATGCTAATAAAAGCCAACAAAACAAATAATTACAAAACCATCATTATGCATACAAAAAAATTATAATAATTTCACCATTACAGTGGGCCTATTGCACCGGTACGTGAACCGGCAAATCACCATCATCATCGTACTGGTGGTAATGAACGTGTTCAACACAGCCATGCCGTACTCCCAACACGTGTGGCAACTGTACGCGTGTGCGGCCGTATTGGGTGTGACGGCCGGCGCGTGGCTCACGGCTTACAACGTGTGGCTCATCGAGATCTGGCAGGAAAAGGCCGTACGAGTGTTGCTCTTCTCGCAGCTCATGCACGGCATCGGCCAGTTTGCCGGCGAACAACTCGCCCGACCATACCTTACTGGCCATCCGCCCGACGCGTATAACTCAACCGTAAACGATATGTACGGCGAATACTCGCCGGACGAGAGACGGGCCAAACTGGTGGTGCCGTTCCTGATCGGAGCTGTCGTACACGGCATCGGTAAGTTCCCACCCATATTCCGGACATTAATTAACTTACATACTTGTGTTTTGTCACTATATGTCAGGTCCACTCCTATTGATCATTATGTATATAACAAAACCGTACGTAAAAGTCAAGCAATACTACACCGTCGAGACGAGTACGGATCGGGACGCTCGCCAGGCGGCGGCGCCAACGCTGGCCGTCACCGCCCGACCACGACTGGTCACCCGAGCGCTGGTGTGTCTAAGTTTGGGCACAATTCACTCAATTGATTCGCTAATACCGGACTTCGCCGTCACTTACCTGCAGTACATACCGGCGCGGCTGTCGGCCTCGCGAGCGGCGTCCGTGACGTCGGCCATATCGGGCACCTATACGGTGGCGCATCTCGTGGAACTGGTGGCCACCTATGCGTTCACCACCAGTCAGATCATTCACACCCACTTTGCCATCGCCTGCGTGGCGTTTGTGGCGCTGGCGTTCGTCGGCCACAACGAAACCCTGGTGTGGATCAGTTCGGTGGCCGTGGGTTTCGGTGTATCCATACTATTCCCGGCGCTGTTGGCTTTTTATGGCTCTGTTGTGGTGGTCAGCGACCGCATGGCCACCGCTATATGGCTCTCGTGGGGCGCCGTATACTTCGCGCCGTCGCTGGTGTTGGGCCACTATATCGAGAGCACTCCGTATGTGTTTGTTGTGATCGCTTTGGCATTGATTTCGGTTAGTTTTCTCGGCCTTCGCCTCATTATATATAGGGAGCGATGAAATTAACATTACCTTGGTGCTTATTATAATTTTGTAAATAATTACATATAAATGATTACAATTACATGTATATGAATAGTGTAATAGATTTATTTATTTTAAATTAATTATTCGTGAAACTTGTTTAAATAATTTGACAATTAATTGCTTATGAATATGTTTAACACTTTTTCAATACTTATATAAAAATTACAAAACTATTTGTTCAATACTTTTTGTGTTTTAGTACAAAAAACAAAATAAATTTAAACAATAAATTCATTAAAAAACTATTAACACAATAAATTCTTAATTAATTGCGGTATAAAAATTAACACAAAATTTGATTGCATTTCGTATAAATTGCAAAAATAAGACAAAAATGGGTGCAAATTATTGCTAGCATTTCAAAAATCCCATACATTTTCTATGGCTTATTAGAATTGAGAGCAATTGAAAAATTAATATTTTCATAAATTCATTAAATATTTCATTTTATAACTGAATTGTTATAAAAAACAATTAACTAAATAAAAACTAAATTAAATAATTAAATTTATAATTGCAAATAAATTGTATACGTTTTTCAAACGGCATTAAATGCAAAGCAATTCATTAAATGGGTATAAAATGTGGACAAAAAATATTAGATCACAAAACAATTTACAAAATATAAACTAAACGTAAATTTAAACTTTTTAAACACATCTGTTTTAAATACGAATCAAACATATATTAATTAATTACTAAATATTAATTAGTATTAATTACAATTAAATCTATAATAAACATTGTATTCCCGACATCGAAAAACTGACCGCGAACATAATCCCGTAATTGTAACCATAGATTCATTTTTTGCAACACAATTAAAATTTTATTTATTTA